GGGGGGGGGGGGCATTCATAAAAACAGGAAAATAAAAGTAAACGTTTAGGTCATTGAGAATAGAAAGTTCATCTAAAAGATTTGTGTCAAATAACATGTTACTCCATCAATTCTATATGTCGTCTTCTTAACTTGAAGTCCTCTGAAACATGTAGCTCTGTTTCATATGAATAAGACAGCTAAAACATCACCATAAAAGTCTTTCTAGAATTTATTTTGTAGAAAAATCATGGGTTTGTTTTCATTTTTTCTTTTTATTACTATTGCTAATAATCTTACCTAAATCTGGTATCTTTCTAAGTTTGACAGAATTTTGGGTTTACAAAAATGAGGTAAAAATAAATTTAGCTATTCTTCACATTCCCTGTTTTTATTAGGAGAGTGTTATTTCTAACCTTCTATTTTTATATTTTTTGTTTTGTGTTCCTTGGGGATAGAGTGCATCCTTATTAAAAAAAATAAAACAAAAAGCCAGAAAACAAAGGAAAATACAAAAGGGAAAATGATACCTAATTAGAATGTTGAGTAAAAATAAAATTTAGGGTTAGAAGAGAAATTGAAAGTCTAAATTCTAACTGCCTGGGTTCATTTCCCAAACTCCAGAGCCTACCAGCTATAGGGCGTTTGGTGAGTTGCTTGCTATCCTATAAGTCAGTTCCCTGAGCATAATAATAGAGACCAGCCCTTTCAATATTCCTGTAAGAGTGAACAGAACAAAACATCACCTGGTACACAATAGATGTCTAACAGATATTAGCTCTTATTAGTAGGACAGATTAGAAAACTGAGGCTCAGAAGTTTAAGTGTTTTCTCCAAGACAACTTAACTAGCTAATAGCAGAACTGTCATCAAAATTTGGGTCCTCTGAGTTTTTTTGTATGTTTTGGCTTCTTTTCCACTAAGAGCACTCCATTTGTAGCCTGGAGAAATTCCTCTCAAGTGAGAAAGTGAAATGGCAGAAAGTCCCTCAGATAAGCATGGCCTAGAAGAAAAAGAAGCTTGAGGGAGAAGTGCATGTGCGTACATAACATGCGCGCGCGCGCACACACACACACACCCAAAAATAAGAAACAAAAAGGATGGGTAGAGGGTGCAGAGCAAGTGACACATGGAAAACTTCCAATTAGACTTTTTATTATGACACAATTCATTAGAGCTTAATTACATTTATTAGGTAATTCATCAGAAGGTTAGAAGTAAAGGTCATGTTGAATGTTAATTACACATCCTTTAAAGAATTTCCAAGATGCTAACAGCAGTCCTCTCAGAGACTGTGAGCTGTTGTAAATTACCTCAAACTCTTGGAAGGCAATTTGCCATTATCTTTAAAATTTCCAATTGCATATATCCTTTTACTGGTCAATACAACTGAGGAAGTTTTCCATGTGTCACTTGCTCTGCACCCTCTATCCATCCTTTTCACTTGTAGAAGTGTGCAAAAATGTGCACAAAAGGAAGCCTAGTGCATTAATGGCAATATGAAATACAGGAAAATGTTTAAGCATTCATTAATGGGAAAATTATGATTGTGGTAATATTCATAATGGGAAAAGTGGGATGGTAGCAGAAGTTCCTCTGGATTATTAAGTGAAAAACAAAATCAAGGTATACAAGAATTTGTGCCAGATAACCTTTATCTGTTCTTTAAGAAAAGGGTATAGCCCTGCCGGGCGTGGCTCAGCAGTTGAGCATCAACCTAGGATCCAGGAGATCACGGTTCGACTGCCAGTCAGGGCACATGCCCAGGTTTCAGGCTCGATCCCCAGCAGGGGGCATGCAAGAGGCAGCCGATCAATGACTCTCTCATCATTGATGTTTCCATCTCTCTCTCTCCCTCTCCTTCCCTCTCTCTGAAATCAATAAAGATATATTTAAAAAAGAAAAAAGAAGAGGGTATAGATATATGACTATGTTTACACAAGAAAATGGAAAAAGCTGCGAAGACACAAGAAACTTAACAGTAGCTCTCTCTGGGAAATAGGATTGAGGTCAGGAGGACAAGATGAAGAGGAGTAAAATTTACACATGTATGTATATATATAAACTTTTTACCACATATTCTATAACTGAAAGAAATAAGTTAAAATAAGGCAAAGTTTGTGAAGACACAGAAACAGGCCAACAGGCATACCAGAGGACAGACTGAAGAGGTGGAGAACTTGAAGGGTTCACTTACAGTTGAACATTCTTACCTGACACTTAGCACTACAGTATTTGGCAACTCGGCATTGAGAGCATCGCATCAGCTTTTCCTTCCTGTTAAAAAGATAAATTTCACATTAGGAAATAAGAACCATATATGGTCAAAGAAAGAAAACAAATCAACATATTGATACGAACACGTTCTGCTCACTCCATCCATATGGTCCCTTAAGATTTACATTTTTTGCATTGATGAACCCCTTTCACCTTTAATGTGAGACATGTACATAATAATGCTCTTTTTTAAATTGTGATAAAATATATATAAAATTTACCACTTTAACCATTTTTAAGTATATATTTCCATGTGTTAAAAAGATAATTCAAGGGCCAAAATGGAGCTGTTTAAGCTAAGCCCCACATCAAATGGAAACTTAATTACAGTTTCAGCTCTCCCAGAAACTGAATCTTAAACCAGTCCATCCAGAACCAACCAATCAGCACAAGTTAGGTATACCTATCTTCCTGATAGACCGCCTACCATCACCTTCCCAGTCGGCTTTCTCACCTAGTATAACTTCCTTACGCCCGCTCCCTTCTGCCTATAAAAGTTTTTGATTTTACAGCTCCTTGGAGCTTTCTTTCTTTCGGCTAGACTGGATGCTGCCCAGTTCATCAATCATTGAATAAAGCTAATAAGATCTTTAAAATTTACTCAGTTAAATTTTTTAAACAAGTGGCATATTTGTCTTGCTAGGACTTCCTACATTATGCTTTTCTTTTTGTTGAATTAGATTTCTAATTTAATTCTATTAGAAATCAGTAACAAAAAGAAACCCAGTAAAACCTCAGGTGCATGGAAATTTAAAAGCATGTTTCTATACAACTCAAGGATCAATGAAGGATTATCATGAAATTAGAAAATATGTTAGATTAAATAATTTTTAAAGATCAAAACCTGTGAGATAAAGCTGAAGTAATACTTACAGCAACATTTACAGCTTTAAATGTTTGCTAAAAGGAAAAAAAACTAAAAGCAAAAGAGCTGAAAATGCACATTAGGAATTCAAATTTTAAAATAATGGAAAACCCAGGAAAGCACAGGGTAGGAAATCATAACAAAACAAATATACAAAATAAAGAAGGAATAAAAGATGTAACAGAGGGGACAAAGCCAGAAAGACAAATAACGTCAACCAACTTCTTGCAAGATTATTTAAGAAAAGAAGAAAAAGTTCACAAATAAATAATATTAGTAATAAAATGGAATAGAACTCAAGATTCAGTAGAGATTTAAAAGCAAACAAGAGTGAAGTCATAGAATTTTTCTACCTCCTCAACTGTCCCCCTGAAAAAAGACAAAACAAGTAGAGGAGCAAAACCTAACCATCACTCCCCACCCTGAAAAACACCTACCACAGAAAGCAAGGAAACCTAATCAGTTCTATACTGCTCCCTAGCGTCATATCCTGATAAATGTCATCCTTCGTCCTTCAGGGAAGGGGTTACACTAGCAGGGGAATGATAGATTTTTTTCATTGCTCTTATCAGTATTTACCTAAAGTATTAGACAGACTAACTCACATAACACAGGTGTGTAACTGATAAAACCAGCAATCTCTACACATCTGAAATAGAGTTAAGTACTAATGTCCTTAAAGAATAAAATCCAGCTAGTCTGACCAATGTACACTGTGGAGACCTCCCACACACCTCCTCGCTGTATTGAGAGGAAGTTTAACCCCACTGTACACAAACCTGACTACACAGACAAGACCCTGATGTCAGAACCAAGCTGGTGGGCCTGACGATGTAAACATACAGCAAGGCCATATATCACCTGCGTGAGTACTGTGCGGCAGAGGCAGAGCCTTAATCATTCCCCCCGACCTCTGAAATCCTGCTTTGAACTTCACTGGATCACAGGCTTTTGATACAGAGGTCAGACTACATCAAAACAAGAAGCCACCAGTTTCAGGCACTCAAGCCTAAACCCTACTGCTGTCAAGAGATTCAGCAAGAAACAGCAGCAAGCCAGTCACAAATTCAGCTCTGCTTTAGTATGTAAGAGTGACAATTTCATCGTTTGTTGGGTGGAACCACCTGGAACAACCAGTCTTAACACCAAGAAAAAGGTTGAAACTCCCTCCACTGCAAAACAAAACAGAAGACTAAATTTCTACCACTATCCCCAAGCAAACAATCTATAACAGAATGGCATGGATCTTAAAACATAAATGTTTGGAATGAGGCCGAAGTACAAGTACAGAAATATGTCACTTTGCTCCATTCTGAAATGTTCAACGTCGGCCAAGTAGCAACCTCCACACCAACATCACTCATGCAATCCTGTGGGGAAATATTTATTCTATTTCCCTTCAGCCGGAGACAAACTGACTCTTTTCAAAGAGTCATTTGAGTTGCCCTAAGGGGTTTTCTAAAAGTAGACAGGGCCCAATCCTGGGCTGTCAGTGTACCTTTGAAAAGTTCCCCCATTTTCACAAATGGACTATATGCATCATTACTTCTTGGGGACCACCCCTGCGAGAAACGCTTGAAATTCATAAATTTCACAAAATCTGAAATTAATAAATCAAAAGATACTGGTGAATGAATACAATATTAACTTTTTAAAAAATGTTTGGGGCAGCTAAACAGCATCACAATATGTTAAAACTCGTATTTCCTTAGATTAATTTAATGATCATTTTCAATGCAAAGCTTGCTTGGAATACTAAAATAATTATTTTAAATTAACCATGGAGAGTCATTAAAATGGAAAACACTGAGACTATTAAACTCTAAAACAGGTTTTTAATAATCATATAAAGTTTTAAAACTTCCCAGTAACAATGTTTTTAAAACTCAGTAACTCAAATACTATTTTAAGACTATTCCTATAATGTATAATAGCCTAGCAGAAAAAAACCGTCTCTAAACAGTACGTACTACCTTCATCATTCTTTTCCCCAACAGAATGGCAAAAACAGAATTGCAATATTTTTATGGTAATCAGAGGAACAGTAATTCAATATATGTGCGGTTAACATACCAAAATACAATAAATATCAAAATACAGATCTGGCTTTTTCATCTTAATAAGTAAATTCAAGATTAGATTTGCTGATTACATATCTTCCAAGTTTATTAAATACCATAATAAAATGTGAAGCAAAACTGCTCAAAACAAGTTAAACTGAGTCTTGATCTGCTAAAATGATTAACAACACCCTCTTAAAGGTGATCCCACATCTGAGCACGTGATACCTCTGTGATTTCAGGGCACAAATCCCTCTATCCATCAAGCTAAATGGAAGGGTTAGAGAGGTTAATAGAGACAGAGCATCTGTTAATAACTTCTGCACTTCATTCCCTACTCCACATACTCCAATGGTCATTGAGCTATTTAGTAATGTTCTTATGAATCAATGCTGCCTTCACACTCAAGACAGAGCATAGAGGCCACTGTGCGAAGCAATAAAGCTTACCTTTGCAAATCCCCTTGATCAAGCTGATCTCATGGTTAAATCTAGGTGAGGCTTCATAAACAAAGGGCAGGCACAACTTTAATTAGAAACCAAATGGCACTGCTAAACAGCTAAATAAAACATGAACAAGTACAATAGCCACCTGCAAAGAGCAATGCCAATTCCCAGCCTCTGTTTACCAAAAGAGATTTTTCTCTTTTCAGCTGCATAACAACTCCGGTTTTATGAGCTTTGGGCTAGCAGTAGCAGTCAATAATTCGAAATCATAGAAATAAATTCTAAGTATGTCCTTACATTCTATTACTGACTGTACTAGTAGCAGTCGAAAATGTTACAGATGAAAAAAACAAGTTCTCTCATTTGCTAGGCTGGCACCCCATTCTATCCTAATTCTCATTAAAGAAAAAAACACCTCATGTTGCAAACTGCTAAGAAATCAGCGTCAACTTATTTTATTTATGGCTGATTAAGGTGATCCTGGAACTACATGGCTTTTTAGCTCATCCCTGACAGGAGGAAAATTACTAGAAGAGTATGGGCCACAGAGCTAGTTAAGTAAGTCACAACCCAAGTCAGAATGTAGGGTCTGAATGATTTGGTGGAGAGCAGTATGCAGGAGCCTCAAACAAGAAGTTCCTTTTGTTTGTTTTCCTTCTCTTGTCTGCCTTGAATTCAAATTTCCCTGGTGCTATGTTTACTTTGTTCTTTTAAGTGACAGAGCGTAACTGTAACCTCTTTCCATTTATACTTTATCTCTCGTTATGGTCGTATAGCCCTGACTGTTCTAGTCAGTCCCTTGTAGAGAGAGCATAAAGGACCTGGGTCAGAAGAACTCAGGTTGAACATTTTGCTCCATCTTTTCCTAGCGGCACAACCCTGGCAAAGTTACTTTTCCTCTCCATGTGTCCACTGCTTCACTTATTAAATGGAGATAATTAAAGCTCTCACATGACTGTTTTGAGAATTAAATGAGATAGCGTATGTGACAGTTCCAGGTATCCAGAAAATAATATGTATATATGTCAGTTCCCTTCCCATCTCCTTACTCAAAATGTATCCTATATTCCTGACCCCTCTGCCTACTGGTCCCTCCTTCTGAGATGTGGATAATCTATGCCCTATCCTTGCTACCTTCAAATAATAATGCAACAGAAAGTATAATCAACTGAAAGGACATTTAACTGACAGGAGAATGAATGTATGTTCTATACAGGGGAATATCATACAGCAGTGAAAATAAATGAACTATAGCCACGTGCAGTAACATAGATGTATCTTAAAAATGTAATGTTGAGAAAAAAAAAAAAAATCCCATCAGACTATATTCAGCAGTAATACATTTTATAAAGCTCAAAAGATGGAAGAAGTAAGTTATGTTTAAGCATACATACACTAGCACTGAACTGCTTAGATACCCTGACTCAAGGTCAACATTTTCACATAAATTCTTTCATGTTTGGATACACACCTGAATTGGAATGCATACTGCTATATACACGGACACACCAAACGCAAACAAGCTACTTGTGTTCTAATGCTGTTGATTTTTAAAACTAAATAAAGCCAGCAACATATGCTACCCTTCACTTACCTACCTTGAATTCAAGTCACGATGACGGCTATAGA